GAAATGTTTTTATGTATCTGAAAGAAAAGTTCAACATGTACTTTTATCCATTCAAGAATCTTGTACTTGACAAGTCTTTGATTTTGTTCAAAGGTAGACTGTCATTCAAACAGTATATACTGAGCAAGAGGAAATGCTTTGGTATAAAACTGTTTGTACTCTGTGACTGTGACAGTGGCCTGGTATTGGATATTGTTGTATACACGGGAAGTAAAACATTGAAAGATACCAGGATGTTGTTGGGTATCTCAGGTGATGTAGTGAGAAGCATGATGGCACCTTTCTTGGTAAGGGGCATACATTATATACATACCGATAACTGGTACACAAGCCATTTACTCAGTGATTTCTTGTGAGTGAACAAGACAGATGCATGTGGCACAGTGCATTCTAATCATAAACATATGCCCAGGTTCAATGCAGGTGCTTGTGGTGATGAGGTGCAGGTGTTTACTGCCAGTGACATCATGGCATTAGGGTGGCATGACAAATGAGATGTCACAATGTTGACAACCATTCACCATAACGAAATGCAAGACAGTGGCAAAGTTGATAGAATGACTAATGAAGATATTCGAAAACCAGTGACAGTGATTGATTATACACAAAACATGCAAGTGGTTGACAAAGGTGATATGCAGATTGGCTTTGTTGATTGTGTTCGTAAGAGTTACAAGTGGTATATGAAACTTTTCTTCCATCTCATGGACATTTCAATGCTCAGTGCATATAATATGTACCAAGTGAAGACTGGCAACAGATCACTATATGGTGAATTTTGTTTGTCTGTTGTCAGACAACTCATAATGAAATACCAGGTAACAACACCTGCTATACAAAACCGTCCTCGAACTCCTCAGGATATACCCAAGCGTTTGAGGAGGGAAGGTGATCACTTCATAATACAGCTTCCTGCAACTAAGAAGAAATTTGCTCAGAAGAGATGTGTTGTCTGTGCACAAACAAAACGACGGCAACAAAGACTCGGTTTATGTGCGAGGAATGTAAGGTACCTCTGTGCATGGTGCCTTGTTTCGAGGAGTTCCACAAGCTCCAGCAGTTCTAAAAACATGTCCAGTGATTGTAAATATATAAATATATGATAGAACATTAGTATTATACAAGATTTGTGCATGTTTATTGTAATAAACAAAAGTGGTAAACAATATTATGATAATAACTTTAGTGCGGTTATTGTGTTCAATACAGTGAGTTTATATATATATACATTATATACAGTATCGGTGTCTCTGGCCCCAAATGTTAGTAGGAAAAGAAAAAAATTAGAAAAGAAAAGAAAAAACTATAAAAAACGTAAAATAAAGTAATGCGCGTATGTGGAAATCGTCGATGTTGCCGCCACCCGGTCATTTTGGGTCAACTTCTCAGCACTGTATCTCGGTAAGTTACTGATCAGAATTTCTTTTTGTTTTATTACCTTCACAAAAATAAACTCTTTAATTCTGTAAGAATTTTTTTTTTTTTTTTTTTTTTCAAAATTTCTTGGACACGAGAGCACCCTTTCCGATTTTGGCCTTGGACCCTGAAAGGGTTAATGCTACACTTGTCACTGGCTCTTTCTGCTTTAGTATTGTACATATAGTAGAAGTGGTATGCTGGTACTGCCTGGTCAAGTCCTTAACCCTCCACCTAGTTTGTTTATCTATGATTTCCTGCTTTAATTACATGGATATCATCTTCTTTTTCTTCTCGACACTGTCCTTTGCACTTGCTTTCTTAGGACCCAGGTTAGAACAAGAAAAAATAATAGTGAGGGTCACCCGATACATAAAGAAGGAGACCAAACAGACTTGAATAAACTATAGGCCAATATCCAACTTACACCCTCTCTCTAAAATCTTTGAAAAATTAATTCATAAGCAAATCTATTCCTACCTCATCTCCCACAACATACTCAGCCCCTGTCAGTTTGGGTTCAGGCCTAATAAAAATAGGAATGATGCTATTAAATGCATGCTAGAACAAATATACAGTGCACTAGAGGTAAAAGAAGTCCCACTGGGGATCTTCATTGATTTACGTAAAGCTTTTGATACAGTTGACCATGATTTGCTCACATAAAATTGTCGCACTATGGTATAAGAGGGCACTCCCTCAACTACCTAAAGTCATACCTCAGCAACAGAAGCCAATATGTGTACACAAATGGGGCAAACTCTTCCACACAGCAATTACAGTTGGTGCCCAGAGGGAAGTGTCCTTTGGGCCCTCTTCTCTTTCTCGTTTACGTAAACGACCTACCAAATGCACTGCAACTACTCAAACCCACACTATTTTCAAAAGACACTACATTCGTCTTCTCTCACCCAAGCCCAGTCATGCTAGCCAATGCTGTAAATACTGAATTACAGAAAAATTTACCTGGATATGACTAACAAACTTACTCTCAACATTGACAAAACCTACTTCATTCAGTTTGGAAACAGAACCACAGATGTCCCTCTTAACATAATGATAAATGGATCCCCCTATCACAAAGCTCACAGAGGGAAAATTCTTAGGAACCCACCTTGATAGTAACTCAATTTCAAACACCGTAAGCATACTATCGAAGATATGGTACTATGTTCCACAGTCACCCTCCTGGCCCTATATCACTCATTTATTTACCCCTATCTCACCTAGGGAATTTTGTGCATGGGGCTAAACAAAAATAAAATCATCTCAGACCATTAATTCCCCAACAAAAGGCTGCAGTCAGAATGATAACAAATTCCCACTACAGGCAGCACATTTCCACCAATTTTCAAAACTCTAAACCTACTCACCATACAAAACATCCATACTTATTATTGTACCTAAATACATACATAGAACACTTAACTCGGGTATAAACCCTTCCCCCCAAATGTTCCTTACCAACCTCAACAGAACACATGAAAAATAACACAAGGCACAGATCACTCTATTTATGTTCCCTTTGTGTCCATCTCACACTATACAAGAACTCAATGCACATAAAAGGGCCCCAAAAAACTGGAATTCATTACCTGTGAATATAAAGAAAAAACTGTCTGGTTTTTAAATTCAAGTCTCTTCTTAAAAATCACTCACCCACAACTAAATAAATACTGAAAACTGTATCTCATAAATGTTTTACCTGTGCCCTATCAAACTTTGTTTTTTTAATTACTTACCTAACAGAATACTCCATTCAATTGAATGCACAGCACTCTGAAAATGACCATTAACCTGTCTTTGAAATACTCATTTGTGCTTAATTATTATTTGTTCACTATAATTTTTATCATGAATATATCCATTGCTTAGTTAATCTTAAATTAATTTAAGCCTGCCCATAATGCTCTGCATACAAGGGGCTTTTGGCATGTTTTCACCTTAACCATTGTATTTCTTTGTACATCTATGTATCATGTCCCAAAAATTAATAATAAACAAATAAATTAATAACTACACAAAACGTTAAGGAAAGCAAAAAAAATATTCTTCCAACTGCCAGTGGAGTGGACTGAGCGTTGTTTTGATACATACTGCCGTCTCGTGATGGCGTTTGGAAAATCACTTATAGTATGGAAACATGTTCTGGTGTTTTCCAGCTGTACTGGGGGATCGATCCCAGACCACAGTGTGTGACTGAGTGCACTAGATATCAAGCTAGAAAGGAATGCATTTAAAACACTGAAAAACAAATGGTTGTAATTCTTTCCAAATAAATAAAATTTAAAAAAAAACAGAGGCCACTTGAAGCTTTCCTCAGTGTAACTATAGGTTTAGTCCCAACCAGAAAAACCTATTATAAATGGAGATAAATGGTATAAAATACCAACATGATGGAAAAATAAACACAAATACAATGGACCCCCGCCTTACGATGGCATCGCGTTATGTTAAATTCGCCATACGATACATTTTAACGCAAAAATTTTGCCTCGCCTCATGCTAAAAAACTCGCCTTACGTGATTCGTCCAGGACGTGTCCCACGTGTGGCCTCAGTGCCAGTGCTTACAAGCCAGTCAGTGCGGTCGCATCTACGCATACATTCGGTACATTTCACTTTATCCCAGTGTTTTTAGTGCTTGTAACTGCAAAATAATTCACCATGGACCCCAAGAAAGCTTCTTGTGCCATCCCTGTGGTAAAAAGGGTGAGAGTTAGTATGGAATTGAAAAAAGAGATTAAGGAAATGTGTGCAAAGTGGCTTGAAGTGTAAACCTTTATGGATGAAAATCACCCTCACACAGCTATTGCAAGCCATGCTGGTGACTATTATAATGACAATGTTGTGAACCACTTTAGACAAATCATAAAAGAACGAGAGGTACAGAGCTCTATGGACAGATATGTTGTGTGACAGAAGTCCAATGACTCTCAAGCTGGTCCTAGTGGCATTAAAAGAAGAAGAGAAGTAACCCCAGAAAAGGACTTGATACACTCTCCCCTCCTCCCATCCCATCAATCATCACCAGATCTTCAATAAAGGTAAGTGTCATGTATTGTATTCTTAGTAGAGTATTGACTGTGCATGTCTTCTTCAGTTTATGTGTATTAAAATTAACATTTCCTGTGGTAAAAAAAAATATTTTTCATGCTTTTGGGTGTCTTGCACGAATTAATTTGATTTCTATTATTTCTTATGGGGAAAATTAGTTCGCCTTACGATAATTTTGGCATACGATGAGCTCTCAGAAACAGATTAATATCGTAAGGCGGGGGTCCACTGTACTGGATAATGCGATCCTTTATTGACTACGTTTTGCCCACACAGTGGGTTTCATCAAGTCACAAACAGATCTGTTTGTGACTTGATAAAGCTCAGTGTGGGCATAATGTAGTCAATAAAGGATTGTTTATTTTTCCACCTATTAAAAATATTATGGCAAGTAGAAAAATCCTCCTGTAGGGCTTAAGCTTACAAAAACAATTATAATGAGTTTTGTAATTACAACTTCTGGTTATGTACCTTTATGTACCACATCCAAAGTTGTTGCCAGTCTAAAATAAAAAAAAATTACTTTAGAGTTGGGTGAGCAGCTGGAGGAAGTGTCAGGGATGGAGCACCTTCTACACCAGGTCTCTCTTAGGAGGAGCTTTGGAAACATTGCCAGGTTAGTCCCTCCCCCCCTTCTCTCTCTCTCTCTCTCTCTCTCTCCTTTTCCTTTGTTGTCTCTCTCTTATTTTTTTATTTATTTATTTTATGTCTTTGCAAACAGTACATTGAGATTTTATATTTATAGTAGTAGGTTGCAATGCAAAGAGAGCCTTTATTATGCCTAGGCATTATGGGCGAACTTAACATTATTGGCTTACAGACTACTTAACACTAAGGATTTTATCATAGTTGTACAGTAGGACAGTAATTATTTCATAGTTGAACATTGACCTTTACCCCTCCTGTTCTCTATCTGACTCTTCCTCCTCTTTCTCTGGCTCTCTCTCTTTTCTTAGCAAGATGCTATTCATCCATGCAAGGAAGTAAAGTTTCCTGCTCTGTAAGCCATATCAGTTTACATATTGTAATAAACTTCTGACAGTTTGAAATTATGTTGCATCATATTATATCTCTATTATAATAAGATCAAATTAAAAATACAGGTATAAACATTTTAAATGCTTAACTACTGTAACTAATTTGTATGGCTCATAAGAAATAAAAAACTAATTATATTTTAATTTAATTGTAATAAGTGTCAGAGAATATTACAGATGGTTATGCAATGCAAATGTAATAGATTCTGCTGGGGAGCAGTAAAAATTATGTCGGATTCTTCCAGGGAAAATGAAGGTGGCCGGAGACCTCACACTGTTAGTGAGACTGATGCAAGCCCAGGTAGCAATGGTATTCCCACTACAAACACTCACCACAGCCAAACTACACTCAGTACACGCAGCCGTAACCAGAGCAACCACAGCAATTACACTGCCACTGAAACCAACAGTTTTTCAACGTTTGTAAGCAATGAGGTGGCCCCTACTCAACTGTACGACAAAGTTTCCATTGCTGACAGCACAACTTCAACATTAAGCAGAGTGACAGCTATAGGTGAAGCTGATCTGGGTGCATACGATTCTCTCAATTTGAATTCTTCCATCGCTAAAGGTCAAATTCTGGTTGAAGAGGAAACTGCTGAGACAGGCAAAGTAAGACTTACTTCTTTACATCAATTACCTTAAGTCTTATGTTAATTTTAGGTGGCTGTGTGTATACAGTTTCTATATATATATATGTATATATTTTTTTTAACAGGTCGGCCGTCTCTGACCGAGGCAGGGTGACCCAAAAAGAAAGAAAATCCCCAAAAAGAAAATACTTTAAGCATCATTCAACACTTTCACCTCACTCACACATAATCACTGTTTTTGGAGAGGTGCTCAGAATGCAACAGTTTAGAAGTATATATGTATAAATATATATACATGTACACTTATATGTATATATATTTTTTTTAACAAGTTGGCCGTCTCCCACCGAGGAAGGGTGACCCAAAAAGAAAGAAAATCCCCAAAAAGAAAATACTCTCATCATCATTCAACACTTTCACCTCACTCACACATAATCACAGTTTTTGCAGAGGTGCTCAGAACACAACAGTTTAGAAGCATATACCTATAAAGATACACAACATATCCCTCCAAACTGCTAATATCCCGGAACCCCTCCTTTAGAGTGCAGGCATTGTACTTCCCATTTCCAGGGCTCAAGTCCAGCTATATAAAAATAACCGGTTTCCCTGAATCCCTTCACTAAATATTACCCTGCTCACACTCCAACAGATCGTCAAGTCCCAAATACCATTCATCTCCATTCACTCCTATCCAACACGCTCATGCACTCCTACTGGAAGTCCAAGCCCCTTGTCCACAAAACCTCCCTTACCCTTCCTTCCAACCTTTTTTGAGGATGACCCCTACCTCGCCTTCCCCCTCCTACAGATTTAAATGCTCTCCTTTTCATTCTACTTTGATCCATTCTCTCTAAATGACCAAACCACCTCAAACAACCCCCTTTAACCCTCTGACTAATACTTTTATTAACTCCACCCCTTCTCCTAATTTCCCACTTGAATTTTCTGAAATTTTTACCCCCCGAATTCCCCTTTAGACACACATCTCACTCCCTCCAACGCCTCCTGGGTGCTGCATTCACAACCCAAGCTTCACAACCCCTATAAGAGTGTTGGTATACTTAAATTTCATACATTCCCTTCTTTGCCTCCTAGATAACTCTTTTTACTTCATATAACCTCAACGCACCACTACCTTTTTTCCCTCATCAATTTCATATTAACCTACCTTCATAAATCCCCTCCGCCGACACATCAACTCCCAAGTATCTGAAAACATTTACTTCTTCCATATCCTCCCCCCCAATTTGATATCCAATTTTTTTATTAAAACATTGAACCTCATCACCTTACTCTTTTCTATGTTCACTTTCAACTTTCACCTTTACACCACTCCCAAAATCGTCCCTAACCTTTTCAAATTTTTTTTTTTAAAAACCCCCAAAGACAGTACTCAGCAAAAAGCAAATGTGTCAATTCCCATTTTGTTTTGATTCCCATAATTTAAACCCACCCCCTTTTCCCAACACCCCAGCATTTTCTTCTTTTTCAACCCCATCTATAAAAATATTAAACAAACCCTGGTGACATTACAATCCCTGTCAAAACCACTTTTACGGGAAAATTTGTCTCCCCTTTTTTACACATCCAAAACCCGGCCTCACTATCCTCAAAAAAACTCTTCACAGCATTTTGTAACTTACCACCTATTACCATATACTCGCAACATCTGCCACATTGCTCCCCTATCCACTCTATCATATGCCTTTTCTAAATCCATAAATACAATAAAAACTTCCCTACCTTTATCTGGAGTTTACCTGGAGTTTACCTGGAGAGAGTTCCGGGGGTCAACATCCCCGCGGCCCGGTCTGTGACCAGCCTCCTGGTGGATCAGAGCCTGATCAACCAGTCTGTTGCTGCTGGCTGCATGCAAACCAACGTATGAGCCACAGCCGGCTGGTCAGGAACCGACTTTAGGTGCTTGTCCAGTGCCAGCTTGAAGACTGCCAGGGGTCTGTTGGTAATCCCCCTTATATATGCTGGGAGGCAGTTGAACAGTTTTTTCGGGCCCTGAATTTATTGTATGGTTTTTAAGTGTAGTGAACCCCGCTTTTCTTTGGGGGGGGTGTTGCATCGTCTCCCAAATTTTTTGTTTCGTAGTGAGTGATTTTCGTGTGCAATTTCGGTACTGTCCCTTAGGATTTTCCAGGGTATATAATCATGATTTTCCCGCCTGCTTTCCAGGGAATAAGGTTTAGGAACCTAAAGGCTCCCATATTGAGGTGTTTTATCTCCGTTATGCGGCCGTGAAGGTTCTCTGTACATTTTTGGTCGCAATTCACCTGCCTTAAAAGGTGTGTTAGTGTGCAGCAATTTCCAGCCAGATAGAAAAAGTGACCTGAGAGTGTCATCGGGGCTTGGCCCCCTAGTTTTGAAGGTTTCATTACCTTTTGTATTTTTTTAGCAGATGCGATTGTAAAATTTTTGGCCCTTAAAGGGTGAGATCCCCCGAATGTTCACCCCCAGGTTTTGAGTTGGTGTTTCGCTCTATTTGTGGCCAGAATTTGTTTTGTACTCGATAAAGATTTTAATTTCCCGTTTTTCCCAATTCTAGTAATTGAAATTTCTCATCGTTGAACTTCATATTGTTTTTGCGCCCACTGAAAGATTTGGTTGTGTCCCCCTGGAGCCTTGCAGTGTCTGAAAAGGAAGACACTGTCATGCAGATTGGGTGTCATTGGACGTGGTGGGGAAAACCCCATGCACCAAATGTTAAGGGCACACCGAGTGAGAGGGGGGGTGAACCAGCAAGATTGGGCCTTGTGTTCACCCCGGGCAGCTCAGAAATTAAGGACACAAGTATGAGAGCCCCCAGGAGCTAGCGACCCCGTGGTTTTTGCCTTTTTAATACATAGTAGAGCTGAAGTGGAGAGAATAAAGGTTTGAATGGGAAAAGCCTGACTTGAAAGAGGGCTCATGGGTTGAAGAACTTCCTGCGGGAGGTCCAGTGGGACAGAGAACTGGAGGAAAGCCAGTTAATGAAAAGTGGAAAAGTAACAACAAAAAAGAAGGGGGAGTGGAAAGGTTTTTCCCAAGGGCAACAGTAACAAGGGAAGACCAGAACGAGCCCTGGTTTACCCGACGGTTTTTAAAGGGGGCAAAAACAAAGTGCAATGAGAAGGAAAAAGTACAGAAGGGAGAGAAAACACGAAAATAGGGAGATCAGTCGCCCGAGCCAGGAATGAGTATGCACAGGGTTTAGGAGGGGGCCTGCGACATTTTTAAAAAAGAAAAGCATCGAGAATAAAGACTGCCCCGAAACTGTTGTATACCCCAACATCAGGAGGAGACAAAAAAGTAAAAGGGACCGGGTTTAAATCAGTTTTAAGGGACAGAAGGTGGAGAAAACTCACAAGAAAAAATCAGGGGGGGTTTATGTAGGAGCTGAACAAGGAGTTTTAAAGGGAATTTTTTTCAGTAGAGAGGAAAGGGCTGGGGGGAAAGAAAAGCACAGAAGGGAACATCAAGGGGGAAATTTATCCCAAACGGGTTTTGGATGACATACGAAAAAATGAGGGGAGGTAAAAAGAAGTCCTAAGTGCCCTTGAACCTAAAAAGGCGAGGGAAAACCCGGAAAAACATCTCCCCTTTGGGCCCCTTAGAAAAGGGAGAAAGGATGCTTTTGGTCCCCTCTAACCAAATCTTCAACAAATCCTTGAAATGGGAAACTCCCTGAGAAATGGAAGAAAGCAAAATGTAGCCCCCTTTTTAAAAAAAGGAAACAAAAACGAGGCGCTAAACTGCTGACCTGTGTCTCTGAATTATTGTGTGCAAATTTCATGGAGAAGATTATCAGGAGGGGGAAGTGGTCGAACACCTGGAAAGGAAAAAGATTAAAAATTAAAAAACCAGCAGGGTTCATGGAAGGCAAATTTTTGTACAAAAAACCCCCCGGGATTTTTATGACAAGGTAACAGAAGACATGAGGAGAGGGGTGGGGTAGATTGCTTTTTTCCTAGACTGCAGGAAGGCCTTTGACACAGTTCCCCACAAGAGATTAGTGCAGAAGCTGGGGGGATCAGGTTGCATGTAACAGGGAGGGCACTGCAATGGCCCGGGGAATCCCGGGGAAAGGGGAGGCAGCAACAAGTAGGGTTTCCCGTGAAGAGGTACCCACAGGGGGCGCCTTTTGATGGGGGGGCCCCACGGGGGTCAGTTTAGGCCCAGGCAAATTTTTGATATATGGTGAACGTAGAGGGAAAGGTTTGACCCCTAAAGGGTGCCCCATTCTTAGTTGATGTGAAGTTTGATGAAAAGAATTAAATCGGAATGAGGAGGGGCAGGACTCCCAAAGAGACCTGGACAGGCGGACATGGGCCAGTAATGGGTTCTCGAATTCAATCCACCCAAATGAAAAAAGCCCATAAAGATTGGGGGGGGGAAAAAAAGAAGAGGGCGGGCAGAGTATGGCTAGGTGGCAAAGCTACGGGACCTCCCCAGGGGGGAAAAGGGACCTTGGGGTGACCATAACACCGAGCAATAAACCGGGGCACACATAAAACCAAATAACTTCTCCCAAGCATACGGGGCCGGAAAAAACCTGAAAAATGGGTTTTCCGATACTTAATAAGGAATCGTTAAAAGACACTTTTACCTGTGTTTGTTAGGCCCATCCCTGGAGTTGCAGCACCATTTGGGAAACCCCCAAACCGGGTTCAAGCACGTCAAGAAGTTAGAGAAAGTCCCAAAGGTATGGGAAAGGGGGGGGGAAAGATGGACTGAGGGACACTGGAGGCCCAGAAGGGTCAGGGGAAAAACATGATAACGACATAACAAGATACTGGGGGGGGTTTTTAGACAAGGTGGACAGAGTTTGGATGTTCCAGAGAGGGTACACAGAAAAAAGGGGGTAAAAAACTGGAAGCGGGAAGACTCAGACGAGTCACAGGGGAGTTGGGAAAAGTATTTCTTCAGTCATAGGTTGTCGGGAAAGGGGGAATACCCTTCCCAATTGAAGTAGTGGAGGCGGAACCATACATAGTTTTAAAAAGGGAGGTTTGATACAGTCGGAAA